AAGAGGCTTATTGAAATCAGTTATAATATTAAGAACGCAGCATATTGAAGTCTTATAGGCTCTCGGTATCTACGGGTGACAAAATTCAAAGTATTTCAAGAGATGAAAATGGAAAAAACAAAATTCCTTTAAGAATGAAAATGACATATAGAAAGTATTGCAGAAAGTCATAGGCATTGTGACAGCGTCTAATAATACAAACATTGCCGCTCATAATAAATATATCTGCCTTGGTAAAAAGCTTCTATTTTTGTCCTTGGATGGAGGAACAGAAAATAAAATTTCTTAAATGTAAAAATACGACTCATCTGCAAAACCTGATGTCCAGCCATTGGGATTATGCATGACCAAACGTTTTAAAAACGAACAAAATGGTATAAACAATAACTAATCGACAAATAATAGTTTAATAAAGTGCATAAAGCTTAGGAAATTGTCAGAGAAAGCTAATCCTAACGGTTATTTCAAATTAGACTGCAAAACAACAGGGAGGCAATTAGTAGCCTTAATATGAAGCCAGATTTCCATCCAAACACTTGAAACTTTTATCTTTTTTTTTCATCTCAAAAAGTCTCGAATTAGATTCTGAAATTAAATAAAATGTGAACATTGATTTCAGTGACCGGAAAAAATGAAGTGAATGCCTAAAGGAAGAATCAACTATTTTAAAACGGGTTGGAAATAGAAATTTTATTGAATTACAGTTTACTAATGCACGCAAAAGCTTTAACCGTCTGTATTTACATTAATACTATTTTTAATAACGCTGACAAAACTAAAAGAACATGGAAAATATACAAGTAGAAACCACTGGTATGAGTAGCTACATGACATATAGATTGCTAGGTAGCGATAATTCTACTGATATACAGTGAATGGCTGAGAGGTTAGAACATTAGCGTTTCCAATTATAAGATCTCGTTTCTAATCTGGTCAATTTGTTGGTAATATCGTCCTAAAAAGATTTTACCAGCGTGCGGTATGTTTGGGGGAATTGTCTGAAAACCATACTCCGCGGGCTGAGCCTAGGCTTTTGAAGAAAATTGGGCGGACTGTCATAATCGAAAACGAACAGCCAGCCATTTACAAACAAATAATAAACAAACGATACAACATTAACTGTACGCGGAAGTTCATTTTTATAAAATCAAGAGACTCGTAGGTAAATGTGGTCTTCAGTTCAAAAACGAGAGTTGTAAACACGTGCGATGATAGAATATATAAGAACCTGTCCAAAAGGGAAGTAGGAGAGACTTCTTGCATCCTTGTGAGGATGTAGAATTCATGTTCGGAGAAAACCCCAAAGCCACACACTCACCCAACTGTGATTGATGAAGTTCACAGTTGAATAAACAATGTTTGAGAGAGTTAGACGACTCTTCTTAGTCTTCACAATGATAACACTGATATATGCTTTTGTAATTTTTATATGTATTAAATGCGGCAAGTATCTATCCTGACACCCTCAGGTATTAACAAGTGTTCGGCTGATTTAAAAAAAATGTATACATAAAATGTATCATGTGTGAAAGAAAAAAAAAAGGTCACTTATTGTTCAAAGCAGCTTTTTCAGTGTATAAGACAGGTTCAAAGTATTCAAATTTGGTTATAGAAGAAATTAAAAAAAAATATCTATTTATTTCTATTATATCAGAACAATTTATCGAGTATTTTGGGATTTTTTTTAACAAAGCAAAAACAGTTAAAGACTTTCTATAATGGAGAATTACGGAAGAACTGAAGAAAACAATTCCATTTTGAATACACATCTGAACATTCCGTGACACACACACACACACACACACACACACACACACATATATATATATATATATATATATATATATATATATATATAGTAAAGAAAGAATTTATACAAATAATTAAATGGCAATGTTAATGTGATTAATGTCGAATTAATGTGAGATTAACTTACTATCAATTCTTTGAATAATAAGATCCCTATATTCGAGTAGATGTCAGATGGAAGACACATGTCGAGTACTTACTTTACTTTCAAATTGTTATCTTCAGGGCGCAATCTTTTCCATGCATAGGCAAACACAATTCGAAATGTGTATACCGAAACGTATTTTTTAAAAAAATTATGCTATTTATTGGCAGTCCAATTCACTTTAACTGATAAATACCTGTAACAAGAAAATGGATTTATAACTTTTCAAACAAAATTCTCATTGATCGAAATGAACAAGAACTCCAGCGTCGCGACATCGCACGCACCCCATCCCCCCCAAAAAACATATTTAACTGTCAATAAATAGCATAATTAAAAAACATCCTTCGGTGTACACATGTTTTTTTGTGTTTGATATGTTTTCTTTAAGATTGTCACAGAGAGTGGGAACAAGAGTAAAAAGTTGTGATAAAGGAAAGGCTGAAGAGAAGAACGGAGATTAGATCAAGGCATCTGGGGATGTCGATTGACATTGCATTTGAATAGTTAGAGATTATAGCTATCAGGGAAGCAAGTAAGAGGAAGTGTGAGACATGAAGCTATTGGAGTAGAAGAGATGGTTACAGTTAACCCTTTCGAAAGTGACAGGGGGGTATTGATTGAGTTTTGTCGAGGACCTTAAGATGAACAGCAGGGGCACCAGGTGCTCTCATGGATTTGAGCGACATACCTTCTAATGAAAGGTTTTCTGTGGTGGGTAATAAAGAGCAGTTTTGTTTTTGAGGCATTAAATTTAACCAGCTATTTCCTGCACCAGTTAACAACATCTGCATAGACGTCTACTTGGGAACTGATAACATCGGGAAGATCGTTAATGAAGATAAGGAGCAGTGTAGGACCCAGGATAGGACCTTGGACCTTGAGAAAGGAACTGGAGGAGAATCCGTTAAGGACTACCTTCATTACACGGTTTGACAGGAATGATTTCATTAAATCAAATAATCGTCCTGAAATACCGTAACCCTGGAGCTTGCGAAGAAGGCCGGCATGCCAAACCCTATCAAACGCTTTAGAGATATCTAGAGCCAGAGCACAAGCTTCTTCGTTATTGTGAAGTGCTTGGTAAAAAAATTCAGTTATGGCCGTGAGCACATCAGCTGTAGATTGGGTAAAGCGGAAACCATATTGTTTGTCTGAGAGCAGATCATGGGATGTAAGGTGCTTAACCACTTCGGCGTTGATTAAAGCTTCAAAGACTTTGCCGAAGATTGGTAGTCAGAAGGGTTTCCAGACTTCTTAAAGACAGGTACGACAAATGAAGACTTCCAGCAAAACTTAGTGTTTGCCTATGTGTGTAAAAAATTGCGTCCTGAAGATGACAATTTGAAATTGTTGAAAGTACTCGGCATGTGTCTTTCATTTGACATCTACGCGAATATATTATTATTCAAGCAATTGATAGTAAGTTTATCTCTCATTAAGTTTTCTTAGCGAAGTGATCTTGCCATTAATCCCATTAACATTACTATTTAATTTGTATAAATTGTTTCTTTATGATATATAAGCTGCATACCCTAATATATATATATATATATATATATATATATGTGTGTGTGTGTGTGTGTGTGTGTGTGTGTGTGTATATATATATGTGTGTGTGTGCATGTATATATATGTATGTGTGTGTATATATATATGTGTGTCTATATATACATGTGTGTGTGTATATATATATATGTATGTGTGTGTATATATATATATATATGTGTGTGTATATATATATATATATATATATATATGTATGTGTATATATATATATATATATATATATATATATATATAGTAATACTTATTTGAGAACGCCTCTTTAGCGACCGATCAATAGAACATGTAACATAATAGGCGCTATGGGCTGAATTTCATAATTCCCATTTCTCTTTAAGATGTATCATTAAGATATGACACATTTCACCCTGACAGCGGAAATGAATAGACACGCAAGACTTTGGATAATAGAAATCAAAAACAATTCCTGTAAGATTACTAGAAGAACGACAGTTGGATCTACCCCAGTGATTTAAACCAAGGTCATCAGATCTGTTGGCCTTCCGAAAAACGAGAGCTATATCATGTTGCCCCAACACAGTACATCAGAGTCATTACCATTAATAAGATCGACATAGTATTCACGTTATAGATCGAAGTGATAGTCGTAAGTGTCCCAACAGAATTCTACTTCGTTTCTCAGATGTGGTAAACCTAGAATATTCAGAATATATTTTGCCATTAACAAATATAAAATTCCTTGAACGTGATGAAATGTCTATGACGGCGTACCGGGGGGATTACAGCCAACTGTGTCCTTTCGAATGTCAACATCGTAGATGCGATAGATAACATGAAGCAACATTTGGGTATACAAACTATTCCAAAGTCTCATCAAGTCCGTCTTTGAAGCGAAAGACAAAACTGAAAATAATCGTCGATTGACAACTATCTTTAATCCATCGTTAATCAGCCTGGTCCAAGTAAAGCGTAGAATCAAATAGATTAATATTGCTGTTTGATAAACGTTTGCGAATAATGTGTATTTTTTCCGAATTAATCGCTTCCTGTTCTAGTGTCTTGGAACGTTTATTCTGTGTCTCTTGTAATCGATAAAAGTAAAGAAATACAATGTTCTTTTATAACAATCTTTTCACAGCGCCAATTCAAAAACAAATTTCAGCATGATTCTTGATAGTTTTCTTTATACGATGTTTATTTTTACTGTTTTCTAGCAAACACAGTAATAAAAAAAGAATTTCTAAATATATCACTTTCATCTTTTTACCTAGAAACTAGTCATATTTGGCATCTCAAAATTGCCATCAGTACCGTATTTTAGAGCTTATAAGATTCTCCATTCTTAATCTACAAAATATTTACTAAAATATCTCCTGCTAGAAGTTGCAGGATCTGGGAGGCTACATTTTGCCTTGACACTTTTCCCAGATTAGAAGTATTATAGGCCGTAAAAGACTCATTTTTCTCCTTTGATGGTTTCTACTAATTTCATCTTCAATATCTGTCTATATAATGCAAGTAATGTTATCTTGCATCCCTCCGAACATGTACGGGCATTTTGCATCTTTCCAAGTATCTATGGGGATGTTGCATCCCTCCGAGAATCTATGGGCATGTTGCATACCTCCACGTATCTATGGGCATGTTGCATCCCTCCGACCATCTATGGGCATGTTTGCATTCCTTCGAGTATCTATGGGCATGTTTGCATTTCACTGAGGATCTATGGGCATGTTGTATCCCTCCGAGCACCTATGGGCATTTTTGAACCCCATCGAGTGTCTATGGGCATGTTGCATCCCTCCGAGTATCTATGGGCATGTTGCATCCCTCCGAGTATCTATGGGCATGTTGCATCCCTCCGAGCATCTATGGGCATGTTGCATCTCATTGAATATTTGTACTGAGAATGTCAAATCCTCCGCTTATTAGAAACAGTTAGTGTTCCATATTAGATTTAGAATATTGTTATATATGCAATTTACAAATTAAAAAAATCTTTGAATATTTGAAAAGCTAGATTTTAATTTTTTGAAGATATATATTATTTGAGATTATTATTCAGTAAAATGTCTCTAATTATACAATCAGTTGATGTGAATTAAATATTCAAAATATTTGAAAACTAATTCGAATGACGGCAGAGTAACAAGTATAACTGAGAACGTAGAATACTTTTTTCCGAATTTCAGATAAAATTTACGTTAAATTAGTAGGAAATAATAGCAATCAAATTGATTTATAGAAGTTAAGAAAATTCCATTAATGAATAATTACTATAACTTAGTCATGTGATTTATATACCAGTAAATAGATTTAACCAGAAACTAATTACTTTAATACTGAAATTGGCTTTTTATATCTATATAATAAAAAAAATGACACTCTTACCCAGCCTGTAAGCATGTTTGACAATCTGAACTTGTAGTTATTCCATCTAGAATGAAAAAAAAGAAGGTTTTCTTAAGGAGTTGGAATTCAGAAGACGTTTGAAGGAAAGTAATTTTTATGTTGATAAAGATACATTTATGTGAACAATAATTAATATATAGGAGATAATAAAAATATTTTTCAAACTTAATTTCAGGTGGTACTGCATAATCAAAAATTGCGGAAATTTCATATTTCGCCATTTTTGTTTACTAGAGAGTTTGACCTATTCTAGGTGTTTAATAGTTTGTCAACAAGCTTTCTGTGTATTACATTGGATTTAATCCCTTCTACAATTTGCATTAATTTCAAGTGCTTAATTAGATTATCATTGTAATTTTTATATACTCTTGATGAATGATATTCATGAGCTACAGAACAGTAAAAATTATCAAAATAATTTAATTTTGCATATTATTAGAGTAGTTATTTATGACTTTCATTATTCCTATAATTACAATCATTATTAGTTTTTTCTCTCGTTTATTTTTTGTCCTCATCCTCTTTGTCGCTTTTAGCGTTTCCCTATATAATTATATTTTAGTAACTGCCTAAAAAGTTGAGTAAATTTTGAATCGCTTCAAAAGACTGTCAAATAAATAAAAGAAAATAATAAGTGGAATTTCATTCTCCGTTTAATAATGAAGAATTTAGCTCACAAGAAAGTGAAATGATTTAATGATTTTAGAGTTCCTTTACTCAAAGGTCATTTTCCGGAAATAACGTCATTCATCTAGGTGATTTTAAAATATTAGCAAGGAAGAGATATGATAGTTAAATTTCACTGGTTTTCAAATTTAGGCAGTAAAATCTTATTGGATTTTATGAATTTAAATTCTTGTTCTATTTTCTCTTTCTCAGGCTGATTTTTGTCGTTTTCATACTGTTTTGTTTTTTAAGCCTGTGTTGTTTTTGGTTCAGCCTGTGTTGTTTTTGGTTCAGCCTGTGTTTTGTTTTTGGTTCAGTCTGTGTTGTTTTTGCTTTCCTTTTCAATTTGTGTTGTTTTTGCTTTCTTTTTCAGCCTGTGTCTTTTTGTTTGTTTTACAGCCTGTGTTTTCTTGTTTCTTTCCAGCCTGTGTCTTTTTGTTGTTTTTTTCAGCCTGTTTTTTTTTTGTTATTTTTCAGCTTGTGTATTTTTTGTCTTTTTTCAGCCTGTGTCTTTTTTTGTCTTTTTTCAGCCTGTGTCTTTTTTTTTTTTTTTTTTTTTTTGTTTTTTTTTTGTCTTTTTTTTCAGCCTGTTTTGTTTTGTCTTTTTTAGGCAGTTTTTTTCTAAACACATTTAAAAACAAGTCTCTCTATATAACGTTCTTTCCTTGTAAATTGTTGTAAAACAAATTAACTGTGTTATATCCGCCAACTTGGCAAGTGATTTGTGGCAATATCTTTATACACATTAGTTTTTCACGATAGATATGGTATTCTTGTGTTTGCATAAAACAATATCAAATCTTATTACATATGGACATCCATATACAAAACTTCCTAATGAAAAAATATTCCAACCAAAATCAATCTAGTAGACGCTGAACTTGATGTATTTATTCCGAACTGTTTCTTGAAATAAAAATAGAAATTCTACTTTGGCTTTATAATTCTACCTGGAAATGTTATTAACACAATTTCTTTCCTTTTTTTATTGGACATGAAGTTAATCACATCAAAATGCAAGCTCAAACTCACACATTATCGATTGCTCACTGGAAGTACAGAAATAATTAGAATGAATTTAGATCTTTATATACAGAAAATGCGATGAAGTAAACTTTATAAACCACATATTAGGAAACTATTAATACAAAGCTAATGCTAACTATTCATTACATTGAAGAAAACTTTGACATCTAACTTTAAAAATCTGCCAACATAAACCTTGCATATCGATAATGTACTAATAAAATATCAAGTCCATGGACAAATCTCTATGATAGAGTTGCCGAACATATACGTATACACGTCTGATTACAACATGCATCTCTGTCTCTGGTCGTAACGAGTGCAATCGTATCCTCAAAGAAGCGAAGTTAACTGTTTGTTGATAAGATAAAACAACGTATAGCATCTCACAATTTCGGTTCTAGAGATTATTGGCGGCTCTGAAAGAGAGTGCTGAAAAACAACAAATCCTTAATCCCTCGTCTATTCAATCAATTTGAAGTCCTGACATTTACACCAGATAGGGTTGAATGCTTTGCTCTGAAATTCACTTCCAACTCAACACTCGACGCAACTGGAGTACCCACACCTCAGTTCCCTCCTAGAACAGAGGCTCTACTGGGTGATATGCACATAACCCCGTCATAGATCTCAGATATTATTTCTAAATTAAACTCTTATAAAACAAGTGGAGATGACTGGATCCCAGCCGTCATCCTAAAGAAATGTCCTCCTCTGTAAAAATCAAAGAACGAAAAATGCACCAAATATAACAAATTTGCTAAGAGTCACATTGATATGAAAACCACCACAGTGTAATCAAGTGATTTTTATAATGTCCTCAAAGATAATCGATAATAATCGAATAGGATTCTTGAATAATCAAAAGAAGCGTGGGAAAGGTAGGGTTTTAACCAAAATAATTTAATTATAAACGATTTAAAATATATTTTTTATTAATATTAGTAAAAGTGATCATTGTGTTACCAGAAGACATTTGGAGCAGATCATAAAAGGATTAAAACTATTTTTCATATTCTTGGTAAGAAATTATGAAAACATTATATATCCATTATACTCCTTGAAAGTTTTCAAGATCAATGAAAAAGTTGATTGGTTGATGACCAAAATGATTTATGGCGTATTTAAAAGTCAAAATAATAGGTTTCATGTTTTAAAGAGTCTTCCTGATTCTTTCATGCCATTCTCTTGCAGAAAAATCTTTTTCTTCTAGTGCAAATGCTATTTTTGTGATGTCAACGAACACTCGTTGCCACCTTTGTGATGTCAACGAATAATCGTTGTCACTTTTGAAATGCACGTTGTAATAGAGACTTTGTAACTGCAGATACAACTAGAGTAACGCCGATGAACAATACTGATGTCAGACGCCTTCGAATAACACTCGCACTAATAGTACTTGCTCGATAATAATCGCTGGAAAAGTAACCACCGAATAGTAATCCGTATAGTGATCAGTATAGAGAAATAGTACAGTGAAAAGTATAGAGATTGAGTAGAAATAGTGACCTGTTTAGTAACAGAGGATAGAATAGAAATGATGATCAGTTAGACGCCACGATAATTCCCATATATACATTTCCTATACCAATCACATGATCTATTTATTCAAAATGGAATCGCATGTGTTTGCTCTCTTGTGATTTGTGCTTGTGCCGGCGGTGACACTTTATTCCTATATAACAGCTATAATTATTTGAATTTTATCAAAAACATTCGAATTTTTATTTGGTCGGAAAGTCATTTTAGCTCAAAATACTCAGCTGATATTTGTATAGGAGTTTGTAATAAAGACATTTCTACACAGTATAATGTAATTTAAAGCAAATGCAAATTATAGTAATTCACTATTCTGAATATATAATTACAAAATATTAGAGGTACCTATTTTAATTGGTTAATCTTTCTTTACTTGGTTCCAAATCCGTGAATATATATCCGTATATCTGTGTTTTATATTTAGACTTTTGCTTTTTTTTGTTTTTACCAATATTGACATTTTTGCCAGTCTATCGGTTCACTTCGATCGGCAAGGACACAAATCAGTAAAATTAATTTCAAACTCACTGAATCACTGCAATAATTTAGAATAATAATAATAATGTTTGTGATAATGAATTTTACATTTGTTTGCATAGGATAGCCATTTTATTAACAACTTCTTGAATTATATTTTAAATTTTTGCAAAATAATAAAACACAAAATTGGTTTTTAACAATTTGTCGTATATTTTAGGGATACAGATTATAATTTCAATTTTTTTCCAAGCAACTTTATGTTTTTTTTTAATTGTGTTTCATCTTATTTGAGCTGACTTTCATTGTTAAAAATACTATTCCAGCTTGATTTGAATTTAGAAACGATTTTCTCGTATCATCGATATCTGTGGCAGCTGCTTTACCGGTTATGCCATGAAGTCGAACCAATCGCAGAAAAATATTCTTATTATATTAGTAATATTTTTACAAGAGATTCCCTATTAATGGAGAGGTAATCATGTATCAAAAGAATTTATAATATTTGAACAACAATCCATATCTTTGCAAAATGGACGTTTAAATTGTTTACATGAGCTTTGTTTAACTCACTTTTCTAAGAGTAAAATCAGTGATTGTCTGTTCTCAATTATTCAGACTTGTTCTTACACATGTTACTTTTACACATATTTCGGCTTACGGCCATATAACGCTGAAATACCGGTTCTTGTCTGATCCCAGATGTTAAAAAACTAAGTTGGAAACTAACTTGATGGGTGTTATAAGCTTTCGGTTAGTGTTAAGGGTAACAGGTCGGAAGGAGAAC